ATAATTGCTAGTCAGCTCCTAGCGATATCAAGAAGACCAGATCATTACATTGTAACGAGCGCACACATTGAATAACAATTAGATCTATTCTCAACTATTTATGAGTTTATCGACAACCGCAAATACTTTGCATACAATTCTATGAAGAACTGTGTGCGAAGTCAATCGTGCCGACAAAATAGTTTTTCCCATGAAAATGTTTAATACCATATTTTTTTAATTTGCCAGTGTCATTTTATTTTCACAAATAATTTTTAACAAATACCGTATGATCGAATAAAAACGGCGTCTACGATGGCTATGAAATGAAAATCGCTGTCATTTTATATGTAAAATTATATGGGAAATGTCATCGATCGTCATTTCCAAGCCAACTGGACGCCGTTTTTTTTTCGATCATACGGTGCGCCCCTCATACGCCGCGGAAGCTCCAAGGAGAACGGTAATATATATCGAAATGAAATTTTGACAGCATATGTAGATTAACTTAAAACATTTTATAAAAATATATAGAATTATACAGGGTGTCCCCCAAAAAAGTTATACATCAAAGTTGTGTTTTTTCTAATGAAACACCCTATATATTAATTGATTTTCGGATTCTAGGAAAAAAATAAAGGAGAGTTTTATTAAAGAAGCATATACCTAAAATCTAAGGATTTTTATATTTCACATTTTCTGAAAATGAAGAGTAAATTTTAAATTGCGATAACATCAGCTACCTAAATTTTAGTTGACCTTGTATAGCCTGATATTTAATTACAGTGACCATTGTATGTTAATCCAAATTAAAATTTGACTCGAAAAGTTATACAGGGTGTGATCAAATTAATATGGAACATTAGTCACTTATAAAAGCAAGTTACTCCTTTATTTTAAATGGAACATCCAGTATATTTTTCCGGTGTTCAATGGGGAATTTATATATCTTCAAAATATTATTAAGGTTGTCTACCTCTCAGACAAAGATTTTTCTATATATATATATATATATATATATATATATATATATATATATATATATATATATATATATATATATATATATATATATATATATATATATATATATATATATATATATTTTAATTTTTATGATTTTGCGTCAGTAGATCTTTATTATTTGAAAAAATCTAGGTGGCTGTGTCGTGATATACCTTTTGTTAATTTAACACAAAATAAAGATTGTAGAGTAAAATACTCAACGGTAATAAAAAGATACACGTTTAAAACATATTTTAATTATTAGAGAATTAAAACTAGATATAAACATATAATTATGTGTCAAAAATTAGCTAGATGAAATCAAATGCTCAAAATGCTTTCTTTCCTGCACGAAACGATTGTCTTGTCAAAGGGATCTTTTCATTTTAAATGCATATGTGGAGTTCCACCTCGAAAAACAACTACAATAATTTCTCTCATTTTGTCGACAATACTTGGTCGAGTTTTGTAAACACTGTTTTTAACATATCCCTATAAAAAACAGACTAGATAAAATCAGGAGCATTTAAGTATTCTATTAATTGGTGAATGCACACTGCATTCACCAACTAATAGAATCATATCAATTCTCTCTGATTTAGGACAAGTTTGCATTTTCGGCAAATTTCTTTGATTTTTTTTTGTTCTAACTGACACAAAATGATAACTAGTTGTTAAAGTTGGACTAATTAAACAGCTATGTTGAAGTAACGTCAGACATATTACAGCCACCTAGATTTTATCAAATAATAAAGATCTACTCAAATCAAATCATGTAAATGAAAATATCTAGGAAATTCTTTGTTTAAGGGGTAGGCAACCTTAATAGTATTTTGAAGAGACATGAATTATGTATTGAATATCGGAATAATATACTGGGTGTTCTATTTAAAATAAAAAAGTAACATGCTTTTAAAGGTGACCAATGTTCAATATTAATTTTGTCTCACCTTGTATAACTTTTCGGACCAAGTTTTAATTTGATTTAAAGTACAATAATTATTTTAACTACATATTAGGCGGGTAAATTCCAATTTAGGTAGCTTTTATTGTAATTTAAAAATTGTTCCTTATTTCTAGAAAATGTTAAATATGTCAAAAACCTTACATTTTAGTCATATTTTCCCTTATAAAACTCACCTTTATTTTTCTCCCAGAATCTGAAAATCAATTAATATATAGGGTGTTCCATTACAAAAAAACACAACTTTGATATGTATCTTTTTTTAGGAATACCCTATAGAACTCTATATTTTTAAAAAGTGCTCTGAGTTAACCTACATATATGCTCACAAAATTTTATTTTAATACAAACTGTCGTTCTCCTTGGAGCCTCCGCGTATGAGAGGCGCCACCCTGTAAATGTTACGGCTAAAATGGATACTTGGATAGTTTTCAAACTAGCCAGCTACTTTGCAAAAAGCACTATTATTTTGTTGGTTAGCTGTCAGTTTGTGGCGTTGGTTGAGCTGTTTGTTTGCAAAGTAGCTGGCTAGTTTGAAAACTAGCTAAGTATGCATTTTAGCCGTAACATATATAAGATACCGTATGATCGAAAAAAAACGGCGTCCAGTTGGCTTGGAAATGAACATCGTTGACATTCCCGATATAATTTTACATATAACGTGACAGTGATCTTCATTTCATAGCCATTGCTGACGCCGTTTTTATTCGATCATACGGTATTATACTATACACGGTGCTACAAATTCGAGGTACGAACATTGGTATCTCGGAAACCGAAATAGATGCGAACATGGTTAAATTCGGGCAAAGTTGCGCTTTGGTATGTTCACCAAGATGCCAATAAAAAAGCTTTAAAAATGTCAAGGCCTGCTGAGTTTTAGGAAAAAAATGATTTTTTTGAAAATCAATTTTATTTTTTCTTGTTGTTACTTTTTCGAAAATCAAAAAAATAATTGCACATTCTCATAGCCACTTTATTAGGGCTATCTGAGAGTATTTTTAGATGTTCAAATTAGCTGATAGTTTGCGAGATACAGAGGCCAACTTAATTTTTTTAACTACGGACCTGCATTTTTTATTTGAAGTTTTGAAAGAACTCGGTGTCCTGAGTACAATGATATGCCACACTTGATACTTTTTTGAATACCTGATGATGTTTTGAGTACCTTAACAATAACAAAACTATTTAATTATTATTTAAAATAATTGCAAGTCCGAATCTGATTTTTTAAACTACTGAATCTGATTATATTCATCGCAACAATATGGATCAGCGCTAATTAACAATGAATAAGGAAAATCGAGCCAATTGAAAGATTCAAATTAATATCCAAGTCAGCAATTTAAAGATATTTTTAACTTTTTTTATTGTGAATTTGAAATCCCAGTGTACGATCTAATAATATGCATAATATTAATCGTAGTCATTATAAATAAATCAACTTCTACAAACTAGTTTCTAATGCTCTACATGTTCCTACATGAAAGGGTTACCGCCCTCCCTAATGCATTTTTTTTTGTTCAATCTTATTTATAGTTTTTTGGGCATATCTTCTTCTTATACTTACCTACTTCTTAACCAAACCGAATACATTTTTTATTATATTTTATACAGAGTGTCCCAGAAATAAGTGCAAGTATTTTAACTGATAATTCAACCCCAGAAACACGCTTATGAGGTATTTTTCGCTAAATTTTTTTATGAAAATTCGAAATTTTTTGAAAAATGTTTTGGATTTTTTTTAGTTTTTAATTAAAAGACATATTGATAATATGGCAAGATAGGTAGTAGATCAAATTTACAAGTAAGAAAATCCAAAAAAGATCCAGCGGTTCTCAAAATTTTAGCAAAAAATATATTTTTTTTTAAATTTTCGAAGTAAAATAACTCCGTTATTTTGGACTCATTTGAAAAACGATAAAGAGAAAATATGTTTCTTTTATCGAGATCTACCACCCCTTAAAATACTTGCACTTATCTGGGACACCCTGTATTTTTTTATTATATTATATTTATATTACTTTTCATTATTTTATTGCATTTGATTTTTCGTATTCGGTGTTTGAATACGTGGGGTAAACGTCATTCTTAAGTTTGAAAGCTTATCAATATTGTAACGATGAATAGATTAAATATTAAAAAATAACAGAGCCGGATTTGAAATTAGTTTAAATAAATTGTGTACAAATGTCTGAAACAAAAATATTAAGTGTGGCATATCATTGTACTCAGGAGACCGAGTTCTTTGAAAACCTGAAACGAAAAAAGGAGGTCCATATTTAAAAAAATTAAGTTTGCCTCTGTATCTCACAAATTATCAGCTAATTTAAAAATCTAAAAATACTCTCAGATAGTCCTAGTAAAATGGCTATGAGAATGTGCAATTTTTTAGCTTCTAAAAATTAACGGCAAAAAAAAATTAAATAGATTTTCAAAAAAATCCGTTTTTTCCAAAAAAACTCAGCAATCCTTGAAGTTTTTAAAACTTTTTTGATGTCATCTTGGTGAACATCCTCAACCGCAAATTTGCCCCAATTTAACGTAAGTCCAAAATAACCGAGTTATACTTTAAAATAAATGAGAACCACTGAATCTTTTCTGGGTTTTCTTGCTTGTAAATTTAATATACTACCTAATGTTGCCATATTATCAAGATTTTATGTTTTTTAACTAAAAATTAACAAAACATCATAAAATTAAAAAAAAATCCCCGAAAAAAGTTTCATAGACGTGCTTGGGGAAGTCGAAATATACCATCCCTAAAAATATTTATACATATTTAAGACTCTGTATATTAGAAAGAGCATAATTACAAAACCGCTTAAACATTAAGTATATAATGCTATTAATTTAAATAAAATTTCTACATTAAGTAAAACACAGATTTGACAAACATAATTATTAAATATTAAAAATATGGTTTATATGCTAGTGAATATTATAAATAAATAATTATATATCAATCCCCAATAGATTATCAATAATAGGCACATTTTGTTGATAATTTCTTATAAACATTTTTAATAAATATTAATATATATCTACTTACCTTAGTAATTAATAATTAAACGATAGGCATTTTTATTCATATACCTGTTATAACACTTGATTGTTGAACAAATAATTGAAATAACTTGCACTTCGTTATTATCCGCGTTGTATTGTAAAATTGTATGGTGTAGAAGCCACTTGATACTCTGTTTAATAATTATGTTTCTTTTCACTTTTAAAAAGAGATGACAAGCTGACCATCGGCGATTCATCATGTTGCGGTAAATTCATACAGGATGTTCTTATATTGTTGTTCGTTTTCTGAGTAATACATGGGAAAACAAAATTCATTTACTGTTTGCAAAATAGTCATCTTATAAATTGAAACACCGTTTATATTTTGTGGAACTTTTTATCAACATTTTTAAATAAGTTATCTGTTTTAAAAATCACTATTAATCTGTAATAAAGAGATATAAAATATTGTCTTAAAATTTACATAGCACTTATATGACATTTATTTGTAATTTATTTAACCGAATAACAGGTACTTACATACTCGTTACTCTACGACATTGCCTGGAAACTTATATGGTGAAATTTGATAAAATAATTTAGAACATACTAAAAACACGGTATATCGCTAGTGGTAGGAAAAATAATTTTTAGAGGTTACTAGTTTATTTGGTTGTCTGTGATATGCATATACAGGGTGTTTCCTAATTAATCTAAAAAATAAAAAATCGTTAGAAAACGGATTAAGGCGGGCTCTTAATAATTATATTTATTTTTTTCTCGACAACCGTTTGATGAACAAGAAAAACTCAAAAGATCAATTTTGTTGAAAAAGGATGGTCAGTCAAGAAAAAAATATATTTTCTTTAAAAAAGCAGTAGTGTACCATTTATGTTAAACAAACAAATCGATTTTTTTTTAATTTTTAATACCCTGTAGATCAGAAAGGAAGTACTTTAGATCTAATGGTTTATAAAAATTGTTTTAAGAACACATGAGGAATCACACCACAATTTTTTTAGACTAATTCGAAAATACCCTTTATATTGTCAACTTGACAATGATTGCTGATTAATCAAAAAATACCTTTTCAGTGAAAAAAAAGCCTGATTTTCGCAGGAAAAATTTTCATTTTCATTGAATTTGGGCCTGGGTCTGCAAATACTGGTTTGTTTTTTAATTTTCTATCTATATAAATTTTAAATATCATAGTCAGAAATAGTTTTATTATTTATTAACTGTAAAAATGGTGTTTTCTTGTTGTGTTGCATCTTGCAAAGAAACTAACAAAACTGCAAAATTCACGTGTTTCCAAAAGACGATAAGGTATGTATCTTAGATAAAAGAAAAATATATGGTATGTATTCGTTGTTTGATTTTTTTTCGTTCGCTTTAAAATCTATAAATCTCGGTCTATTCATTAGACAGCTAGTCGACTTACGATCGTTTACATGAAACTCTGTAAAATACATAAAAAAATAAACTGTAAAATATATATATTCTTATGTTTTATTAAAGTTACTCTGATATACTTATCAGTGTAACTTTATATACAGTGTAACTTATATTTATCAGTGTTAACTTAATAACTTATATACTTATCAGTGTAACTTTAAAAATAAATCCTTTGAATTCAAATATAAACATAAAAAACATTTACAGCAGAAAAGGCGAAGGCGCTGGGTTAAACGTAGTCTCTACTAAAAACACGGAGGGGCGCTTTGACCCAAAATTTTACCACGGCATATAAATCACACGGCAGGCTAACTCACTTTGGCGGGAACGCTACGCGCATACCGTCGCGCACGCCGCCATTAGGGTTTCCATCATAGAATAACTAACTGAAAGAAATGAAAACTCCTATGTTAAAGCCTGGAAACACGCGCTCGACGCGATCCAAGCGGGCTACTGGCAGAACTAAAAGTTAGCGCCATATTTTTAAATGGACCTTTACTGCCAGTTCATAAGTTTTTTACTTACATTTGGTAATTTCAATCTAGATTATGAACTTATTTGTAACAAAACATTTTACAAAATAAAAGTAATGTATTTTGATACAAATAAATTAATAATCTAGGTTGAAATTATCCCTGAAATTAGAATAAAACACGAAAAATTTGTAACTTGATTATTTTATTATAACATTGTTAATAAAATTACATATAACACATTCAACACTATACAAGTATATATATAAAAGTTATCAGAATTTATACAATCAGTTATAAGTAATTATAAAAAAGGTTATAAATTATAAATAAATAATTTATTATATAAAAGACATATAGTTACCGTGAATATAATTTGGTATAACTTTAATCTCAACTTTAATGACCTATTCAAATAGAAACATCTTACAATTCACATTATATAATACACAAAGCCAAGGGACAAAATTGTTATTAAATCTATTCTCGATGACTCGAAGCATTTTTTTTTCAAATAAAACAGGACATATAGGGCTTATAAATAATACAAGGGTATAGAAAATATATAAATAAGTAAATACAAATATATTTTCAACCTAATGATTAATGATTATACTCGTTTAAATAAATAAATGATCTTTTTAAAATTACTTGTTTGTCTTTGCAAATTTGTATATTTAATATTTATCTAAAAGCGTACACTTACATAAATTACTGCACAACCTTTAAAATTAAGCTTTTAATATGTTATACAAATTCTTGATTCGATATAAATACACTTAAATAAAACTTTAAAATTAATGATCTTCCAAATTTCTGAGACAGCCATTTTGTTGAAAGAATTTGTTTTGATTATGAGAAATTTCATAAAAATTATCACAGGGATTAATTAATCTTATATATGAAACTACTTGGCTTTTAAATTTCACAATCCTATCGTCCAAAATACTCTAAATTCGCAAAAATCCGTAAATATTCCCATAAAAACAAATCACAATTCACTTCCACTTCACAGAAACTGACAGACATTGCCAGATATGGAATGACGTTTATTTTTCAATTTATTTTACTGATCTAACTGATCCGGGTCACTTAGAAATTAAATTTTTATTAAATTATTTAATTATAATTGTTTCTGGCGAAAGCAACTTCATATCAATGTTTATTCATAGGGTAACAAAGCACATCGCTGTAAAATTATCAACATTTTATATAAATATTTATATTTTTCAACTACTCCAACTACTCCAATTACTCCACAGAGAATCAAACGAATTGTTAATTAAACTATACTCTGTGGATGACTTGATAAAATCATGATGAAATTAAAGTCCCTAGATGAATATCTAGGGACTTTAGATGAAATTTCTACGCAGCGCCATCTATCCCTCTACTGGCAGAAACTCCGCCGTGTTTCCAAAATTCAAATGGCAGTTTCATCCGCCTGGTTTCCATCAAGAGAAAGTAACCAGTGTCGTAGTTTCTTTCGTCGACTGCGCACACTTTCGGCTGATTCGAGTCAGTAGCGTACGGATTAATTTATTTTGTTTATTTCTTGAGTTATATTTTATAGTTGTTGTTTTATTTTTGTTTATTGTGTTATATATTTGGTTTTTCTAGTTTATTTTCGTTTCTTGTGTTATATAATTTATTTTTGTTTTTCTGAACATTTTTAAATCGTTAATTTTACGTGTTTTTTAAAATGCCTGGGCGAAGTTGTGCAGCAAAACTGCCCGAGTAGAAGACTAAACTGCAATAAAAGTTTCTTTCTGTTTCCTAGAGATCCGATTAGGGTATGTATATACATATGTGATTAATTATTTTAACATATTTTAGTTAAAAAAAAAAAACAGTAGTATACATATTAGGACATTCAGCTAAATAGAAAGATCTAATTAAAAATATACAAGTTCAGCATCTATATTAAATGTTAACAAACTTATATACAGGGTGAGTCTTAAATAAGTGCAAATATTTTCAGGGCTGGCAGATCTCGATAAAAGAAACATATTTTCTTACTTTTTCAGATAAATCCAAAATAACCGAGTTATTTAAGTTTAAAAAAAAATGATTTTTTTTTAAATGTTGAGTTGAGAGCCACCGGATTTTTCCTGTATTTGCATCCCTTTTAGTGCCGCAACCATAGAGTAAAGCCGTAACTATGGTAATATCAGAGATTAAGAAATTATACCGTGGGAAAATTTGCGGTGAACAGGCAGTTCTAAAAAGTTTTCGAAAAATATACAGGGAAGTTAAAAGAAAATGCACGATTTTCAATATCTTTTTTTAGCAAAAAAAAACTCATAAACGTGTTCCTGGGGTCGAAATATACCACCCCTGAAAATATTTGCACTTATTCAAGACTCACCCTATATGTATATAAAATATTAGCAAAATTAAAATGTTAAATATTTAGTAAAATTTAATGTTGTATCTAGACATTCAACATTAAATTCAAAAATAATTATATTAATAATTATTAAATAAAATTATAAAAATAAATAAAATGAGTATATCGAAAATAACAATAGATTAGTAACAAGTTAACAATACATTTTTAGGGCAAGAACATGGGCAATTGCATCTAATAGAGAAGACTTGGTTGAAGATATAAATAAGGCCCAGAAAAGGTACAGGTTGTGTTCTGTTCACTTTGAATTTAAAATGTTTACCAATTCACTTTGTAACCGTATAAAATACAATGCGGTACCTACTTTGTTTCCTGCCATGAAAAAAATAGAAGTTTCTCAAAAAAAATTGTGGATTTATTAATTTGTGAAATTTGAATATTAATAAAATTTGCTACGCCCCTTGATGGGCATAATTTGTACGTAGCCTCTTTATATTGTTCAATAAATATTTTATTGGTATTTTTTTAATTCTTGTTTGTAACTCTGGCATGTTTTTGTTAGTTGCATGTTTTTTAATTTTAATTGTCTATTCTCTACAGTGAAATATTTAATTGATTTTTTCATTTTTACTTTTCGAGAAGTATGCGCGGTTAACGATTCATTTGTTTGGACAAAAGTATTGTAAATAAAATTTAGTTTCAGTCAATTACAGTATTTTTTTAATACGACCCTGTCGTATTTTCTGAGAAATTTTTTAATACGTTTTAATCTGGCCCTGACTAGGAAACCATAATGGCGCCGACAAGGTCAAATTTTATAGAAATTTTAAACAATGGAATCTGAGTAGAGTTGGCGTGCCGATTGTTTTATGTGCCGTGATTTTACTATTAAGTTTCATATCTATCTTCTC